CATCTTCTTTATCCATCACCTCTTAGTGATTTAATCTGCTGCTTTAATACTCCATTTTTCCTTTCTACCAACCCTGCTGCTTGCGGGTTACAGGGGAGATAGAATCTCCACTCAATGCCAAGTTCTTTTGCTCAGTCTTGCACATCACGACCTTTGAGATGTGACCCCTGATCACCATCTGTTGGATTAGAGTATGCATGCATATGACTCAGCCCCTCCAATTCCCTGCTAGTGGGCAACTGGTTTCCCTGGCACCAGGAGGCAGCTTGGGTTAAACCCGACACAGTGTCCACACAAACCAAGGTGTATTTAGAACCTTCACTCGCACGGAGGAGGCCAGTGTTATCATTTGCCAGCCACTCCCTTGTCGGCAACTCCATAGACGGCCCCAGACTCCTTTGACAGTTGCCTTGGACGTTGTTTAGAACACTCTGAGAAAGCCCTTCCTTTTTCCTTTCTGTTTCCTCCTGGTTGTCAAGAGAAAGCCTCTGTGTGATGCTGAGTCTCTTATGCACCCCCCCCGTTACTAATTTCCCTTTTCAGCAGAGGCAGCAGGCCTAACAAGACCCGTGAGCTCCCTGAGATGGTGGAGCATTATTTTGATTTCATGAGTATTTTCACGGTGAACTTCATTTGTGAGAAGTCAGGCTTGTTTCCCTAATTAACAGAGAAGCAAATATGCTTCCTAGAATACAATCTAAAAAAAAAAAAGAATACAATCTATTTAAGACGGTGTACATCAGTTTAAAGAGAATAAAATTAGTAACGATTATCACAGTTAAGGTCTCCTTTTCCTTTCAGCTGTCATACTGTAAACAATGACCTTTCTGTGATCTATTTAGTACCACATTAATGCTTTTTGGTGGTGATTTCACTGTTGAAAATGGTGCTTAAGGGTAGTGTTTATGTGCTGTGTGGTGTTCCTAACCTAAGCACAAGGCTCTGATGTGCCTTAGAAAGAAAATAGGTGTTAGATCAGCTTTGTTGAGTCATGAGTTACAGAACTGTTGGCTGTGAGTTCAGTGTTCATATGACAACAATACATAGCAAGGTGTCTTTGGATAGGAACACGCATGAAACAATATTATATATTGATCAGTTGGCAAACAAGCTGTGACCCAAGGTTCTTGGGAACCCAAATTTGTATTTCCTCTAAAAGCAATGGTTTTCGATGCAGAAATCAGTAGTGCAAGCTCTTAATTAGTGCAACAAAAAGACTGCTTTTGAGAACATAACTTCCGTGAATAATGGTGGTTTTATAAAACATAGCTACCATGATAATGAGAAGTAACTGTGCTTTTTCTTTGGCCTCACCACGTGGCGTGCGGGATCTTAGTTTCCCCGACCAGCAATCGAACCTGCGCCCCCCGCAGTGAAAGCATGGAGTCCTAACCACTGGACCACCAGGCAAGTCCCTGACTGCACTTTAATACTGTTTTTTTTTTTCTTGGCCACACTGCTCAGGTGGTAGGAACCTTAGTTCCCTGACCAGGGATTGAACCTGGGGCCACAGCAGTGAAAGCGTGGAGTCCTAACCACTGGACTGCCAAGGGATTCCTGCTAATACACTTATTTTTAAAGCACAGGTGGTTCTCACCATTTCTTATTCCTAATCGTTATATTGTGTTTTACCATTATGTATGTTCCTGAGGTTTTGACTCCCGAATCAGGGAACAAAATACCAAATTGTGTTTCTGCACATCTCTTTCCAATTCCATGTTGTGTGATGTTGTGACAGCTTGAGATGGGCCCTGGAGGGAGTATTTACATGAGGGATATTGACAAACACTACCAACCCGGTCTTGTTCTATTGATGTTTAGACTTTAGAAAGTGATGAACAATATGTTAATAGAGCAGATTACACTAAAGTGTACGATGTCTATGGCTGTTACGTGTTTGTTCTATGAATAGAACAAAACATTGAGGATATAGTCTTCAGTTCTCAAAAACAATTGTTATTAAAAAAAATTGTTATAGACTTGTGCCCCATGGCCCAATATATAGTTGAAGCTTTAACCCTAATCCAACTGTATCTGGAGTTAGGGCATTCAAAGAAGTAATTAAGGTTAAATGAGATCATTAGGGTGGGGCTCTAACACAACATAATTACCGTTTTTATAATGAAAGGGAAAGACACTAGGGAGGTAGTCACACAGAGAAAAGCCACGTAAGGACACAGCAAGATGGTGGTCATCTGCAAGCCAAGGAGAGAGGCCTCAGGAGAAACCATCCTCTGTGGCGCCTTGAACTCCGTCTTCTAGCTTCCAGACCCAGAGCCAGTTTCCTCTGTGCGTAGATGCACAGAGAGAGCGCTCTCTGCTGTCTCTTCCTCTTCTTATAAGGACACTAGTCCTGTCAGATCAGGGCTTATTTACCCTGAACTACCTCCTTAAAAGCCCTATCGCCAAATATAGTCAAATTGGGCATTAGGCCTTCAAATAAGAATGGTGGCAGGGGAGAGGAGAGAGATAATTCAGTCTATAACACAGTACATACTAAGGTAAAGGCCTTTACCCCATGTGAACATTCTGATGTCTTAGGGGGAATTCCCTGGCCGTCGGTTGTTAGGACTCTGGGCTTCCATTTTAGGGGTCACGGGTTCAATCCCTGGTCAGGGAACTAAGATCCCGCATGCCGTGTGGCACGGTTAAAAGAAAAAAAATTGACGTCTTAGGAAACTGGAGTTGGAAGCAAAGGATTTGCTACAATCCCTGCACTCATAGGGTCTTTCTCCAGTGTGAACCCTAGTGTTTAAAACAGATTTAGGCTCTGTTGGGACTTCCCTGGTGGTCTAGTGGGTAAGACTCCGTGCTGCCCATGCAGGGGGCCCGGGTTCAATCCCTGGTCGGGAAACTAGATCCCACATGCATGCCACAACTATTTGGCGCAGCCAAATAAGTAAATATTTTATTTTAATTTTTTAAAATAAATTTATTTATTGATATATGGCCGCGTTGGATCTTTGTTGTTGCGCGTGGGCTTTCTCTAGTTGCAGTGAGCGGAGGCTGCTTTTCGTTGTGGTGTGCAGGCTTCTCATTGTGGTGGCTTCTCTTGTTGCAGAGCATGGGCTCTAGGCACACGGGCTTCAGTAGTTGTGGCATGCGGGCTCAGCAGTTTTGGCTTGCCGGCTCTAGAGCACAGGCTCAGTAGTTGTGGCTCACAGGCTTAGTTGCTCCATGGCATGTGGGATCTTCCCAGACCAGGGCTCGAACCTGTGTCTCCCGCATTGGCAGGCGGATTCCTAACCACTCTGACACCAGGGAAGTCCCTAAATAAATATTTTTTTAAATAATAAAATAAAACAGATTTAGGCTGTATACGCAAGAAGGGCGAATGCCTTTCATATGAATTTCAAACTTTCTGTGCCTCAGAGGGGACAGTTTGATGGTGGAAAATAGGTTCCCAGTTTTGGACAAGAATAGGTTGCTGTTCATGGGCCTCTTGGGAAAGAGGGCTGGGCTTTGTGGTCCTCTTTTGGGGCCTGGATGCCATGAGTTTTAGAAGACTCAGAGGAGGGGTCAGTGTGACAATCTCAAGTGCTTCTGGGAGCAGCATGAATTTCCCCGCTTGTTCACAGGGCCTAACAGCACTGATGAGGGGAATGTCTTCTTCAGGTCTTGCCAAGAGCCGTGTCCCCTGACGTCCAGAGTTTAGCAGGTGATGTTCACTGGTTCTACGATCACAGGGTCATGGGCAACCATAACTGGTACAGCAACAGGGGAATAATAGGGAGTGAAGGAAACTGCAGCCGGTTAGATATAATGAGGAAGATGTGGGTGAAAGTTTTCAAAAGATACAAATGTCCAGTTAGAAAATAAATAATTCCTGGGCTTGTAATATACAGCCTTGTGGCTAGAGTTAGTAACACTATATGACCCAAATGTAAGACTGGAAACCAGAAAACTCCTAGAAGGGAACATAGGTGGAATACTTTGACATAAATCATAGCAATATTTTTTTTTGGATTTGCTTCTAAAGCAAAGGAAATTTAAAATAAATAAATAAATAAACAAGTGGGGCCTAACTAAACTTAAAAACTTTTGCACGGCAAGGGAAACCATTGACAAAACAAAAAGAAAACCTACTGAATGGAAGAACATATTTGCAAATGATATGACCATTAAGGGGTTAATATCTGAAATATATAAACAGCTCATACATCCATTTCAACATCAAAAAAAGCAAACAGACCGATTAAAAAATGGGCAGAGGACCTGAATATGCATTTTTCCAAAGAAGACATACAGATGGCCAGGAGGCACATGAGAAGATGCTCAACATCACTAATTATTAGACAAATACAAATCAAAACCACAATGAGGTATCACCTCACACAGGTCAGAATGGCCATCATCAAAAAGTCTATAAATAATAAAGGCTAGAGAGGGTGTAGAGAAAAGGGAACCCTCCTATACTGTTGGTGGGAATGCAAATTGGTGCAGTGTGGAGGTTCCTTAAAAAACTAAAAATAGCACTACAAGATGACCCAGTAATTCTACCCGTGGGTATTTATCCAAAAAAAGAAGACACTCATTCAAAAAGATACATGCATCCCTTTGTTCATTGCAGCACTATTTACAATAGCCAAGATATGGAAGCAGCCTAAGTGCCCATCAACAGATGAATGGATAAAGAAGGTGTGGTGCATATATACAATGGAATACTACTCAGCCACAAAAAAGAGTGAAATAATGCCATTTGCAACAATATGGATGGACTTAGAGGGTATTATGCCAAGACAAAGAAAGACAATATGTATGATACCACTTATATGTGGAATCTAAAATATAAAACTCAGGAATTCCATGGCAGTCCGATGGTTGGGACTTGGTGCTTCCAATGCCAGGGGACCCTTCTTCAATCCCTGGTTGGGGACTAAGACCCCACAAGCCATGTTGTGGAGCCAATAAATAAATAAATAAAATATAAAACTCACCCTCCTCTTGTTTTCCAGAGATAATCTCTAGTCCCCATGCAGACAACATCATTGTTCTTACAGGTGAAATGATAATCGCTACTCATCAAGGCAGTGATTGTGGAATCCAAAACCTTAACCTCAGTATTCAGACATCCACTTTCCATATCTGCACATATGTTATCACTGCAGCTACCATCCTGGCAGCAAATGTAAATTTGGGAAGTGACCACTTTTCCCAGGTAAGTGTCACATTCTTGGAAGGATAGATCCTATCTCAGAAAATTAAATAATAAATGCTGTATCGAAAAACAATTCAGATTTTTGGATTTGGAACATAAATACTGACAAAGAGAGGCAGAAGGGATGTATTCTGAGGGTCCCGGAGGCATGGCCCCACTTCATCCATTTGCTTTAGGGCTGCCTAGTATCTCTCCTCCATGTTTCCTCTCATAACCTGTCTGTACTTTTCTGCCTCTTTTCACTGACTAAACACTGAACCTCATAACATCTATTTATAATAGCTTAATCCCACATGAAGTGAAGAGCAAGACTGTTTTACTTGTAATTTTTTGTGGACATGCAGTGTCTTTTTAGTAATAGTTAGCTGTGCATATTTTAGTCTTTTGGGTGGATGATTTTCAAATGGATCCTTAGGAGAATTTTAGTAACATGTCTGAAGAATGCAAGAGCAAAAACTTCCTGCCCCATTTTGTGAAAGGAAGAATACACCTAAACATGTGAACAAAAGAATGTAAGTTAAAATAGTAAGGTAAGCAGGGATGGAAAGAATCTCTAAATGTTACCATGTATGAAAACATATTTTATATGTGCATAGTATCTTCATTACTATTAATATTATGCTCCCTTCTCTCTAAAAAGATTTCTGGTGACCCTGAATCAATATAGATTTTTAATGTGTCATCTAGAAATCATGAGATGACTTATTCTAACAAACTTTATTATGATCACTCTCACTCCCTAATGGGTATCTTCCTAATCCTTCTTGTGGAAATCGAAATTTTCTCGAGTCCCTTAGAAAATAAAGCACAAATGTCCTAAGGAATCTGTTGTAGCCAATGAATTAATTTATGTTTTATGCATCTCGACTGCAATTTTTTTTATCTCCTAGGGATAATAAGGACAATATTCACTCAGATTAGACCAAATACACAAAGCAACTAATTTCAGGCCTTGAACGGTGGATAGCATAGGGCTGTAACCTTGAGGGCTGTAATGAGAGGTCAGGTGCAGAGAGCCAGTGAATCCTAGCTTTCTCCTCCAGCAGAGGCATCCTCATCACTGGCCTCAGAGGCTGAGTCTCCACTCCTTCCTCCAGAGTTTAATACCCTCTGTGGCACCTGAACTCCAATGTCAGGACAACCTCAGAGACCAGTCCAGGACAGAACACAGCCAGGATGATAGGGCTTTTGTTGCTGCCTCCTGGACTTCATGGTGGGCTAGAAGGCCAAATGCAGCCCCGACTTGCATGACCAGATGGATCTGGATCCCAGGTCTTGGGACAGCTTCCTTATGCCCTGGACTTAATACCAGCAATACCTTGTACTGGGATTTGGCCTGGGGGACCTGGAATGCTGAAGAACTGGCCTAGGATGGTGCCAGGTGTCTCAACAGAGCTTCCCATAGCCTAGAAGAGGGACATTGCAGGGAGCAAGTGGAGATCAGTTCTGGCCTGGTTCCTGCCCTCCTGTAGCAGCCATGGAACATGCGGACAATGAAATGCAAAATAGGGAATTTGAGGTCTACTAAGTGTGGCAACAAGGAGGCATCAAGTGTGAAATGAGGAAGTGGGCTTAGGATGTCTGAGATATATTGCTAAGTGAGAAAAGGAAAGTACAGATCTGTATACAAAATACGTATGACTTTATTTTTCCTGAGCCAACAACTTTTATAGGAAAATATCTGAACACAGACCCACACAGAATGACACACATAAATGCAGACACAATTCTAAAATGATAATACTATAGTGCAAACCTCAGCTATTCCATTTATTTTTGCAATCCTCTTTACTCTGAATGTCCTCTTTAACTCTTCCTCCAACTGGGATTTGGTCAATTTGGTTTTCAAGAATGAAGAAGGATCACAGTTTGGAGACAGACTCTTCAGAGTGACCATTCTTGTCGGGTACTGAGCTTAATTCCATGTCTTCTCAGACATCACTGCTAAAACACCTCGGAGATCTTAACTTTTTTCACCATTCATGGATGTTTCACCAGAACTATTTCTGCTACCATCTTTTAATCACTACTTAATTGTTATTAATTGCTTTCTATAATTTGCATTTTACAGCTGCTTTTCTGAGATAATTTCAATTCCACGTGGAGGTCAGTCCCAGTAATGACTAGAAAAATCATCATTATTTTCCAGCAAAAAGATGAAATCATCTGTTTAAGATACTCCCAATATTTCAGTTAAACAAAAGTCAGCTGAGTAAATTTGAAGATCTAATTGGCTTTATTAGGTGATTCATGTATTGGGTAGCATTCTATCTAGCAACTAGAAGGATGCTCTAAGGGGCTGCACAAAATGGAAGGTTTTTATAGGCAGAAGTGGAGTGGGGCAAGGATGTTGCCAAAAAGAAAAGGATTATTTTAAGGCTGAAATATCTTTGGTGGGGAAAGGAATGGCACAGGTTTTGTCATGCTCATTGCCTCTTCTTCCTCAGGGGGAAGATAGAGAGGGCCCACAGATTACCTCATTGGTTCTGGCCAAGAAATTCCAAACTGGTTGATTATGATTACATTTTTCAGAAAGGTTGAAATTGCAATTAGGTTAGGTATTAAGTCTAGTTTTGGAATTATGGTCTTTAGCACAAGTGATGTCATTTTGGGCCTGTGGTTTTTCTCTTTAACAAGGTGTTGAGAGCATGTTTTGCTATATGTTCCACATTTGTTTCCTTATTCTCTGTTTGAGATTGATTTCATATTCCTGAAGGAATTGAATATGTGTCAGGATATGGATTAAGAGGTATTCAGTAGATAAGTGTTTCATAATTGGATACAATTATTAATTATAATGGAGGAGAAATGTTTTATGCAGGAATCATTGATGGAGATCCATCTTTCCACTCCTGCTTCAGGCTGGTGAACATCCCTCTTCTATCCTCCATGTTCTGGCCCTATCTGGAGTTGTTTTTCTCTTGTCCCTGACCAAATGTACATGGACTGTCAAAAAATGAATCTAAAGCTTGAGAGTGCATACCTTTGAACTACAAAACAATAATGTTTATTAGCTTCAGCTTCCAGTGGAGTCATTTCGTTTCTTAATTACTGTATGGAATGATACATGCCTTTAGATTTGTGACCACTGAGAGCATCTCAAATGATATTTTTAGATTCTGGGAACATGCTGGGCTGCTTCACTGAGTCTGAAATAATGTCTCCAAATGAAACTGAGTCCCCCTCAAACGGAGTTCCCTTACAAAGTTTATGATTAATCTCTCTATCCAAAACCTTATTCCCTTTCTTATCCCCTATAACCTCAATCCTGGGCTAACTGAACACTAATCAACCAGAATCAGATGACTAAAATTGCTGTTGTCAATAACATCACCGTAGGCACTAAAAATGCTCTTATAGATATCATTAACATACAAACTCAGGTTGTTTATCTAGAGCAAGATTAGCTAACAGACCCCGGAGCCATGGACGACGTGGCCAGAGAATTATAAACCAGAGACATCCTGATTCCCATATCCACGATTAAGAAGTGTCACAGCGCTTCCCTTGTGGCGCAGTGGTTGAGAGTCCGCCTGCCAATGCAAGGGACATGGGTTCATGCCCTGGTCCAGGAGGATCCCACATGCCGCGGAGCGGCTGGGCCCGTGAGCCATGGCCGCTGGGCCTGCGCGCCCGGAGCCTGTGCTCCGCAACGGGAGAGGCCACACAGTGAGAGGCCCGCGTACCGCAAAAAAAAAAAAAAAAGAAGTGTCACAAGATAATTAATCCTGGCCTCTTCTTCTTCCCCTTTAAAAAATACCCCTAACTCAGGGGCCTCCCTGGTGGTCCAGTGGTAAAGACTGTGCGCTTCCAATGCAGGTGCGCTAACAATGCAGGGGGTGCAAGTTCGGTCCCTGGTGGGGGAAGTAAAATCCCACATGCCGGGTGGCATGGCCAAAAAAAAAAAACCAAACAAACAAAAACACCACCCCTAACTCAAAGACCGCATGGGAGTGGATCTGAGACCTGTCTTCCACTCCATTCCTTGGTGCCCTGCAGTAAATGCTGTTCTTTCCTTAACCACAACCAGGTGGCAGTAGATTGGCTTTGTGAAGCCAGCGGACTAAGTTCCGTTTGGTAACACAAACAGCAGCACTCCCTCAGATTTTAGTATGGTCCTTTTATGAAGAACAAAATCTGTCCTTAGAACTGGAGCCACTGTCTTCCTGTTTTCCAGCACCGCTCATTGTGGAGTTTAGCCTTTTCTCCTGAAAAGCCTGGTAGGTTCGTTCATCTATGTGAACTACATTACCCAGAATGCTCAACGGAAAAGGGCAGTATGAGTAACCAATGAGTTCTCAGGAAATAGGCAGTTTCCGTTTGAGGCGCAACTTGTAGGGGCGGGACCTCCGGCCTCCTCCTCAAGGTGACCATTTTACTGCCCATTTTACTGCCCATTTTAACTGCTATGGGTCAGTTCCGGAGATCCGTGTTAGAAACGGGGTGACGGAACCGGGAAGGTCCGAGTAGAGGCATAGTCCCCATTGCACAGAGGCGGGTCTGAGGCTCGGCGACGCCGCCCGTGGGCCCCGCGCCAGGCCCGGGAGAGGGTCCGCCGTGCCCTGGTCCCACTTCTCCCGCGGCTCCCGGCGCCGCTCCGCTCACAGAGTCCGATGGCGGCGGCGGCGGCTCTTAGGCACCAGTCTCAGGTAAACGGTAGTCCTTCGGGCCCTCACCCCATCAGGCACTAAAGCCCCGAATGCTGGGCACCTGCCCATGTGCCCGCAGGCCAGGCCGCGGTGTCCAGGACTGTGAGGCGGTCGTGAGTGGGGCTTTGTTTCCAACAGTGTGATGGCGCGTGGGAGAGAGTGACAGGTGGAGGGACCCGCAGGTGCAAAGACTTGGAGGTCGGATTGAGACGGGAGGATTCGGGAAACCTGGGGTCCATCTGATGTCTGCAGGACACAAAGAAGGTGAAGCGGAGTCATACCCGAACTGTCAGGCTGAGGGTTGTATCTTCATTGTGAGGACCTAAGAAGGCATGGAGAATTTTGAACAAAAGGGGAACAGGATTTACATTAACGTTTTAAATGTTTCCCAGGGCCCTTCAAAGGAAAAACAGATTTGAGGGGAGTGATGAGGACATGGAAGCACTAGGAGGTTGAATCTTTGTTCAAGTCCATACTGCTCGTAAAGGGTGATACAGAGCACCGAGTAACAGGGGTCAGACGACCAACCTGAAGCCGTCTGGCTCCAAGGCCAGGCAAGGAAGGATACAGGGTGGCATGAGCTTCAACGTTTCTAACCCACAGTTACATTCTTATAAGGCCTGTCTCTTCCCACAGAGTCCGAAGGCTGCAGAAGTACTTATGGAAACAAAACAGGTATGGTAGTGGGTGTCTTAGTACCTTACTGGCTCCAACCCTCACTCGGATGCTTTCTGGTTTGTGGTGTCCTGGGACTCTTATGTGCCATTTTCCCAGTCCTTGGGTCTGGGGACCCTAGAGAAACCCCAAGCCCAGGGTTCTAAGTCTATATCAGGGGTGATATGGAGGTGTTCCCATTTCTGGCGACTAGTGTAAACTAGTGTGGAAGGTTAACCCAGGAGCTGCTACCAGGTTATGCAAATACTTAGTGTTAAAACTGAGCTGGGAGTGTTAAGGAACCACAGGTCTCCCTTTCTGGTATGAACAAAGGAAAGGAATATAGGATGACTGCCTGAGAAATGGGGCATCTATTTTGGAGGTATTGGGAGGTTTGGATCAGAGGAGGGAGGTGATATTACCAAGGTCTAAAAAGGCTCCATCTGACTGTAAAGTGGAGAACAGACTGTGGGAGTGAGGGAGGAGCAAGGTGGAGGCTACTGACATAGTCTAGGTGAGGTTTACTGGGCCAGGGCTGTGGTTTAGGAGATGTGATTGGAGTCTGGATGCATGTTCTAAAAAGGGGCAACTAGGTTTTATAGTATGGATGATGAGAGAGTGAAACAGAGAACTCAGGGATAACCCCAGGGTGTTTGGTCTTGGCAGCTGTAGGGATGGAAGCTCCAACTGAGATGAGGAAGTTGGTAGTAGGAGTAATAATCACTGGGGGTATCAGGAGCTTTGTTTTAACCATGTTAAGAGTCTGAGGTATTTCAGAGACCAGTAAGTGGAGGCATCAGATTGTCAGCTGGACTCACAAGTTGGGAAATCAAAAGAGGGGTTCAAGTTGGAGACATTCAAAAAGTGGTAGGTACTATGTGGACCCAAGTAAGTGACCTGTGGTCACAGGAGGTATAATCTTCATGTTACGGTCCTAAAGCTGTTCAGGAAGCAGGAAGTGGAGGATAGAGACTGACTACTTATTCTCTTGCTTGAGTACCTGAGTGATGGTTTTGGGTTTCTTAAGTGCAATTGAGGGAGGTATGTGGCCATAAAGGTAGGGTGTATCAGACATGAGAGCCTGGCAAGTGGCCAAGGCTTCCAAGAGAAGAGTAGATATGAGATGGATGTCAAGGCATAGGAGTGTTTGAGGCAAGATGACATGCAGACCAGAGCTATTTCTTATTCACCACACTATGGACTCACCAAGATTCTGTGAGGACTTTGCTGGGGCCTGGAATGTTTCAATTAGCCTGGTGGATATGGTCAGGGCAAGTATGGTCATTTGTGATAATTAATAGGACTGGGGTGGTTGGTAAGTGGAACTGGGCTTTGAATGAGGGTTAGATGGACAGAGAAGGCTGTCATAGCCGAGGGACAGCAAGAGCAGCACAGAAATGCAAGAGGGCCATGGGCATCCAACGTCGACAGGTGGTTCTGTGTGGCTTAGTCTTAGGCAAGGAATAGCCATACAGGGAGGGAGGCCTTCATAGAAGGATTAGATGTTTCCACCCCCAGTGGGAGCCATGGGAGGTCTAAGCTAATATTGAATCTTGTTTGAATTTGCCAGGCAACTCTGGGTGCTTTCTGCAAAGTTGTATTTTTAAGGCCTAAAATAAAGGCCCATTATCATATGCTGCCTTGACATCTAATAAAACCTAGAGTGGCTCAAATGGCCTGAGTGTAAGTTCCCCTCTCGAATTGGTGATCTTGGATAGGGTCTCCCATTTTATCAAGGGGACCAGAGCAGTTCCTTCTCTTAAGAAAAACTCAACTCACATTGGCGGAAATTCCCTGATGGTACAGTGGTTAGGACTCAGCACTCTCACTGCCAGGGCATGGGTTCAATCCTTGGCCGGGGACCTAAGATCCTGCAAGCTGTGTGGCAGGACCCCCAAAAAAGAAAGATCAAATTAGCTTTATTCAACAATTCATGCTTTGGGTAGCATCCCATCTGGCAAATAGAAAGGAGCTCCACTGAGCTGTAGAAAAGGAAAGGTTTTTAAATGTGGAAAGGGTGTGGAAAAGGGAAATTATTAGCAAAGAATGCATTGTCTCAGGCAAGGTTGCCCTCCAGTGGGGAACGAAAGGGGTCTATTGGGCGGATTACCTCACTAGTTCTGACCAGGAAATTCCAGGCTGATTACTTAAAGGTTACTTTCCTGGAGGTTGAAACCGCAGTTAGGTTAGGTATTGAATATTAAGTCTTGGTTTGCTTATGTGGGGTTTAGCACAGTGACTCTGTTTTCACCTTCCATCTCCTTTTTAACATTGCTAATCTTTTTTGAAGTGGGTTTCAGTTCTCTACTGGCCTGCAGAGTTATTCAGACAAGCCATTTGCATCATCCTCTAGGAACCAGGTTGTACCCCGACCTCTTGATCCTAAAAAACTTCCACCACACAACCCCTGGTGGGGTTTTTTCTTTTTTCCAGCGTACAACATTCATGTGGCCCTGTATGGTATGTGATGTCCTCCTCTCCCAGGCTATATCTGTAATTAATAAACTGTTGTTGATCTCATCTGTCCAGTGTCAGGTGTCGTGTCTTCTGCATCGCCATAACCCTAGGACAGGAATTCCAGTGGGGTAAAGAGGAAGTGATTAAAACAAAAATAACATATAGAGAGGCCAGGGAGATGCCTGTGCTCTGGGGCAGTGAGGCGTGGTGGCCATGGGCATGTGGCTGTGGTGTTGAGGGATGTGCAAGTCATGTGAACTTGGAGAGGGAGTGTGTCTGATGGCCCCAGGGCTCTGGTGTTGAGACTTCTGTGTCTTTGGTTGTATTGGGAATAGCTTGACAGGAGTGGGTGGATGCATCTTCCCCAGGCCCACAGCTTAGACATCTGTTTCTCCATCTGCCACTTGTTGCTGATTGTTGGACTTCATGACCAGTGAGCCCATAAGGAGACAACAGCACAAGTTGCACCAGGGCCTGGTTTGTCCCCTGAGTTGGGGGGCTTGGGAGAAGGATGGGCATGGGGTAGATGTGTATGGGATGCATTGTGGGTACTCAGAGAAAAGTTGTTTATGGTTTTATCTGTTCACCACCATGAAAAGGCACTGTGACCTTTTAAGATGTGGTTGTGTACTTCTCCTGAGAGAAGTGGAGTCTCCTTTATGAGGTTCAGAGACACCTGTACTGTGATGTGATGCTGGAGAACCTTAAACTTAAAACCTCCCTGGGTAAGGTCCTCACACCCACCTCTGTACTGTGAGGTATTCCCTGCTCTCTCTTTTTTTCCTAGA